AAAAAAAAAAAAAAAAAAAAAAAAAAAAAAAAAAAAAAAAAAAAAAAAAAAAGATAAATAATAATCCAATAATGGATGATAAAAACAATAAAATAGGGAACCTACCTAGTAAGTTCATCAACTTTAGCGATTAGATCATCCTTCACGATGTTCAGTGCATTTCTGAAATGAGAAGACAGATTTTCAGTCAAACAAGAGTAAAATGGATAACAGCAGGCCATTTTTTCTATGGAGTTTTCCTCAAAATGCAATAATTCAAAGAGGTTTGGTGCTACTATACTTCTTTTAGTTTCAACATTGCCTTGCTTTTGCAGAACTTCTTTTTTTAAAAAATTTCGATAGTAAGTTTCAACAGGCTAGGCTTGACACTTTCACATCGGACTGTACTACTATTTGAGTTTGTAATGCCTATTGCTTTTATTACTCCCGTATTCATCACTAGCCATAAAACTATATGGGCTGTGTCTATCTGGTAAGAGAAAGAGATTGAAAGTGACACCTTTTCTAGGGGCTGTCATAAAGTTTGATACAATTTGTACCAGCTCCACATGTAAAAAAGGGAAAGTCTTTTCACAGAAATTAAGATAGAAAATTTTAAAATTCTTTTAGGCTAGGCAATTTAAACACAAGTTCAATTGAGAGAAGCAAGTCATATGTGCGGAGTACAAGGAAAAAAAGCAATAAGTAACACTAAGCGTTATCAAAGTTGTGCAAGTTCTAAATTCATGAACCTTGTAAGCAGAACTTCCAAAATATTCTTGACAGAAATTTTATTACCTAGCTAGAAACAGGTATGTGTTGAAACAATTATAAACAATTTAGGCTGGAGCTCTTTGCATTAGGAAAATTTAGAGCTTGCACGATTTGGATAACACCTGATGTGACTTACTTCCTTCTGATATCCTAATAATCATGATGGAAATGATACTTCAGTTTCACTGAAAAAATGTAATTTTTGATAAAAAAAACTATGAAAAATCCTGAGTTCTCAGTAAATTTTACAGATTTTGCAATGGGTAATAAAATTTATACTTACTTGGTAGCGAGGAGTTCATTATTTTCCATTATTAAGTTCTCTATTTCTTTGCCCATACCTGAAAAGATTTTAAAAGATCAGATGCCATGTGAAAGAGCAGAGAGAGTACAGAAATAGTAAGTTGACAAAGAAGTGCTTTGTAGAGGACAATTTAAGTTAGAATTTAATAATCCTTTGTCTGTAGATTATTTTAGGCAAAATCAACAACTCATTAAACGCACTCACTGACATCCAGTTATGTTTCAAATTAGGAGCACTGTCAAACAGTACAGCAAGTGGGACTCTAAGGTACAATTTGTGAATTGAAAACGATGTTGACCAACAAGCTCGAAGTAAGAGATGAAATATATTTTATGACTTCATATATTCTTTTTTTTAAAAAAAAGACAGAAAAAATCGATGTGTTAATTGATTTTCCTAGGTTTGATACATTTATGACATAGTAACTTTCTGCAAACTGCCTCTGATGCTTAATTCATCTTTAATGCCACAATAAAAAGGACTCATTAATTGCATCAGGAACGTATCCTGTTTAACATTTAAAAGTTTATTGCACAATAAAAATGATTCTACTGATTAGATACTTCAGATTGATAAATTGATTGTAGGTTAGCTTGCAAGATTTTTGAGAAAAAAATTGTCCTACAAAATTATGGAATAACTGATTCCACAGTTACAGAACTCTGAATAGTCTTTCAGAGCAGCTTTGTATGATCTTGAGCTTGCATGTTAATTTAATTATTATAGTGAGTAGTTAAGCTTTTAAGAGAAAAATTGAATAATTTATCATTCTACTGAGGAGAAAGAGAGTTGGTTAATTTTATAATCCTTACCGAAGAAGGTATCATTAACTATGGATTCGAACGACACAGCAGAGATGGAAGCGAGTTAGAGCATGACAAAAACAAAAGGGAAAAAATTCAACGTTAGTAAAACAGTAATGGAGACAAGGGAAGTAAAAGTTAGAGGATAAAAGAGATGAATACAATACAAGTTTGATTTCTGAAAGCAGAAAAATTAAATAAAGTGCCAAATAAACATATGGACGGTCTTTAGCGCTTTGCTCATTTCAACAAGAACAATTTTTGACTTTCCAGAAGTTCAATTTATTACTCAAACACTGGATGTTCATAAAATGGTTTCTTATTCCGTAATAGGTTGACAGTTGAAACTCAGAAACTTGCATGCATAATTGACTGTAATTATTAAATATTTTTAAAAGCAAAATATGAATTAAATAATGTCCTATATAAATAAGAAATTTCAGAAATCAAGTTTTTAATTGCACACAACTTGCCAAAAAATACTGAACTATCATACTTCCTTATTAGATTCTTTGTGAAAATAATAATATTGGCTTGATAATGGCGGATATGATAAATTAATATAGCATTCAGGAGAGAACAACAAGTCTAAAATATAGATCTATGAATCGACCTTAAACAGACTATTTCAGAATTACGATCAAGCAAAAGCACTTTTATTTAATGATAATTAACAACGTATGTACAGAACTACTCAGGACAATACAAGCAAATAAAATACTAGAAGAATTTTCAAAACTTTAGACTTGACTCCTCTTCAAAAACTATTTAACAGTGCAGATTCTTGACGAAGAATGACTTCCAAATTATCATTGTAACAGTGAGGTCCATACCATTAATAACCAATCAATAACTTCCATATCTCTCTATTTTTCCTAAAATCTAATAACGGTTAAATAAACTTGGCAATACAGAGATTTATCGTGGATTGAACAATTAAAGCAAACTAGTACTCAAAAGGACAATTGAGGAGGGTTCCAAAGGCAAAGCCCATGGGAATCCAGCTAGGCTCATTTCTCCGAGGAGTGGCTGTTTGGGCGAACGGCAGTGTAGCTGAGAGCATTACTACCTGATTGTCCAGATAAAACAGATCGGAGAATTGAGCTTGCCAATGCTTCTTGGATCCTTTTGCTGGAACCCTTATCAATTTTTGTGCACAAATATTATTTATCTACAGACTAACTATAGCTGCGCAAAAGCTAAGGTAAAAAATCGAAAGCATAATCTAATTAATGGCTTGAAATTGAAAGAGTCTGCAATTTGATTTAAGTTATTCAATATTGAAGATGAGAAACAATCATAGCTCATATTTCTACTTCCAAAAAATACATATAAAATTGAAAAAAAACGAACGACACAACATTCACAAACACATCATACTGTTCAAGAAAATTCCATAGCCAGGAACAAACTCCGCTTTAAAAGTGCATCAATGTGAGAAGAAGTAACTACGGAAAAATTTGGTGCTCATTGGTGAATAAAGAAAAAAATTGAAGTATGTACCCTCTCCCTTACCGTTTGTGAAGATAAAGATAATTATAGAATTAAAAAGGATTATTGCAGTCATGGTTACTATCAAAATAAATAAAATATGTGACCTTAAAATAGACTTAAAATCACATTTAACTCTGTAATTACTCATTGTTGTATGAATGTTTGCCTTTAAGGCATAAATATGAGAGTTTGGTCTGAGTCTCGCAACTCGTTAAAATTCATCTACTGTGCTGAGTTTCATCTTATTCCTCCTGGCAGAATTTTTCAATTTCACTTGTTGAGATAACAAACAAAAGGTGCAAATAGATTCCTAAATACTGAATTCGACTTAATTCAATAGACAATTGTAACACAACTCGCTTCAGTATCATTTCATGTTATGTATCGACTCATCAAGGCTGAATAAAATCTGCTCACAAGCCATTTAATTGTAGTTCAAGTTTCATCTACTGTGAAAAAACTAAAAACAGTGGAACCACCGTGCCTTTTTGTTTGTTTTGTAGTCAGGCTTGAACTAATTTTTCACAATAAAAGAAAAACTTGAAAGAGAGACTTATGAACCATTTAGTCTTGGGAGAGAAAAAATTAGCCTTTAAAATTAGTATAAATCAAAATATAAGAGAACTAAAAGAAGAGGTTTACCAGATGAGGGTTGTGTTTCGCCTTCTGCATCACTTTCATTTTGTTCTGAAAGACACATGCAAAAAAAATGAAAAAGCTAATAGATAAACAACTTTACTCGTGCAAAATACGATACGAGAACAATAGTATCTTCAAATCTTGTTGGCTACATATGATTTCATCTCATGCTATGAGAGGAAGAGAGAGAAAAAGCGGACGGAGAGATAGACAACTAATGGATATATATAAAAATGAAGAATTCAACCAACTACTTTCAAGTTTTGCCATCCCATTGCTGACAGGTTGATGAACTCAAAAAAAAGTATCGATATTAAAGACTCTCAAAACTACTTGTAATAAAATACAGGGTGATCCAGACCACCCGTCCACCATATTTTTCTCGAAAACGGCGGAGAAATGAGCTTCGGGACCAAAACTTTCATAGGGTAAATTGACCCCAAAGAATCGAATGAAAATATTTTCAGCCCCCCAAAATGGCCCCTTGGGGGGGTTTTGGGGGGGAGCCCCCAGTTTCTCGCAATTTTCAAATGGGAAGGGTATGTTTTGACTTTGGTTTCGGAATCTACGGTAAAAAATAAGAACATTTTGTTCTTTGCACTTTTTCCCTAAACCCCCATTTTTTGGAGTTATGGGGCATTTTTGGGGCAATTTTCAATTCGACGCTGTAAGCGGCCAAATCACCCAAATTTCAAAATCTAAAAATGCCCCATAACTCCAAAAAATGGGGGTTTAGGGAAAAAGTGCAAAGAACAAAATGTTCTTATTTTTTACCGTAGATTCCGAAACCAAAGTCAAAACATACCCTTTCCATTTGAAAATTGCGAGAAACGGGGGGCTCCCCCCCCAAAACCCCCCCAAGGGGCCATTTTGGGGGGCTGAAAATATTTTCATTCGATTCTTTGGGGTCGATTTACCCTATGAAAGTTTTGGTCCCGAAGCTCAATTCTCCGCCGTTTTCGAGAAAAATATGGTGGACGGGTGGTCTGGATCACCCTGTATATATGATTAAAGACATTCTAGATAGGAAAAAACACTACCAAATGATCAAATAAAAAAATAGTGAAATGAAAATTTAAAAAAATAAATAGCAACATGAGAGAATTTACAGACCAAAAATAAAAAAAAATGCAGAATTATTTTGATAACTTAATAAAACCCCCAAAAAGATGCAAAAGGAAAAAATGAGATCTAATGATACTGCTACCATAAACAATCAAATTGGCAGTGATGACTTGGTTTTAAAACGGAGAAGTCATAAAATTAAGACACCAGGGCGTTTAACGGATAATTATTTTTGCAGGTTAAAACCCTCGGACCAAAATACCTAAAAACTCCCAAAAAATTTATTTTATGAAGTCTCTCGGCTTTTTAATTGCCCCTATTCAAATTCAACAAGAGAATTGCATCACTCTGATACCAATTTGTTTGTTTACAGAGAGTGCAACATTTTCCGACACAGAAATATACAGCAGGCTACAAGTGTGACTGCGTATCCCTAAGATAATTTTTAAGGTACAAACCAGATGATGCGTAATCTCCAGGATGAACCCAGTTGCCTAAACAAGACGAACAAATTATTTGTTGTAGGGCCTCCGAATGACTTATAGGTCTAGAGAAATTTCAAGATAAACCAACAAGACCCCCCTGTCTAATAAGAAACACTTAACTTCAGGGCGGTTACAGTTTATTTCTTCTTCCCTCTTTAAAATGGCAAGTATATTTAGTATAAAATCAGACGCTATATTAGAGGTTTGTGTCTCATTGAGTCCCCTGTCAAATTTGTGCGTTGCAGTAAAAAAATTAATCATTCCTTGAATGAAGTATCTTCTTTCATGGTCCAACATTCTCTCATAGATTGGAATTTATGATTTTTTTGGTTGATAATTTTGCAAAAAACTGACCATAATTTTAAGGGTTTTGAACAGATTTGAAAAACAGATAATCAGCAATCTCTCTGCGATCAAACACAAAAGGGCAGCAATCAATTCATTTCATATTTCTCACATTAACAGTTTGGTTTACTCAATTAACGACTCAATACAACTTACGACACTTGCTTTAACACTGTGGATCTATTACTGAGACAATAAGATCATTTTAACACCTTTTTTTCTCTTCAATTGCCGATGGTGGATTAGTTCTGTCTGAAGAGCTGGCAACCGGCCGCCAAACAAAATCAAAGCCTTTGACTCCCAGCTTTCAAGGACACTTACCGTCATTGATGAATGTTTCAAAGAAAAATCATGTTCTCTACATGAGCTTCTTCAATCTTTTCAGAAGTTTGAGCAGCTCTTAAACCTCTATAGACACAATATCGAGAGGCAAGCCACTGCTCTTCTCTCAATTCTGCAGGAGATGTGGTGCCAGTGGCCATGAAAAAGTCTTGTGGTCGCTGACTATCTACAGTGCTGATGCTTCCGGCGATTGAAGAGGAAATATGTGTTAAAAATGTCTCTCAAAGTCATGAGTAGTTAAAAATTCTAAGAGTTTAAAATCTTTGGTGCATAAACCATCAATGAGTCACCGCCTAACAGGCGGCGCACTTACATAGGGGACCAAAATTCCTATACGGGTAAAATTCACATGCTTTTGAAAAATTGTTGTAGGATCTTAAATTCTCAACAAAATTAGCTCATTTTGGTAATTTTTTGAAGCTAATAAGTTGTTCTAGAGCCTCTCTGGTAGGGCATGCTGATATTTTTTATCAAGGATAATGTTGATGGACGGTTGTTTTGGGCCAGCCGAGGTATAATTGGTTTTTTTTTCCTTTTCACAACATAAGTGCGGAACATTGATGATTCTCTAATTCAAATAAATAATAAATGCTCTTCATGAAAGACAAAATGATCTTACCGGTGATTTCAGCACCGTCATCCACGTCACCGAGAGCCTCGTTATCTTGAAAACTCAGTTCTTGATAAAGTGTATTGGCACTTCTCTTTTCACTAAAACAAAGAGCATAGAGGTACTATTGATGACAGTCCAATCTGAAAATGTTTATGAATTGACATAGCACATAGACAGCAGGCACTCTGTCGGGAAGAGGTATTTTTAAGGAATGAAGCTTTTTTATGCACATTTGACAGTTTTACGAATATTCTTTGATCCAGAAATGGCTGAGAATCACGTAAAAGTGTGATAACTACATGAAGGGAAAATTCTGAATGTTTTGGGGAACAGGGAAGCTCTGAGATTAGGCAATACTGAATTTGGCCACAATAATCCCTGACGCTACTGGTTAGCCCATGTTAGTTAACATAAGAGTGTCTCTTAGATTCAATAGGAGTGTCTATAAAGTTATACATTTGGATTTGGGCGTGAAAAATATATACAGTCAATAAAGCGAAGACGCTACGTCAATAAGCGAAAGTCAATAAAAGACTTTACTCCCTTTAAATGGATATTGATTTTTTTTCTTTGTGAAAACTTGCGGGACTCTTCCATTCTTTAAAATTGGATTACTATTTGCTCATTAATAAGAGATTGAACTAAGTATAAGGACCAATGCACCCAGTCGAGAGGGTGTGAACTCACCTCTTAGTGTGGCTGCGACTGACAGGAGTTGCAGCAGCTTTTGAAGGAGGTGGAGTATCTTCAGAAATTTCTTCCGGGCTATTATCTTTACTTGCAGCACTGAGTGTCTCTGACCATCTCATCCGATTGTCACCATTGGCTTCAGATATAGAAAGATCCTACAAAATACATTGATAATATTCTATTAGGAAGAGGAAAAAAAAACCCTACATGTAAACCCTCTTGTCCATCAAACATACGAATAGAAAGAAATTAAGGAAATCTGATACAATTCTTCATAGACAGAATTGTCTAGTAAATTTTTAGAATCTCTTAGACTTCTTCATATGTAAAATGTTGTTACCAAAAATGATATACTTACAAACATTTACTTTAGGGTTTATTTGATTGATTGGTTAAGGTTAAAAATTATGCTTGAAGATTAAATTTTTACTTTCTTCATTCTAAGATGTCAAATCATTTGCACTCTATGATAGGAGGTGAAAGATAAGCTATTCGCCTATCTTTCAGAGTTCTAACTTCGGGATAAAATTTTAGGAGCCATCTTGGTAGACAAGCCTAATTCTTAGGACCAAAAATCACAAAAAACAGTCCCTGTTTAAAACAGTCAACAGTATTTGGCTTAGTTCAGCTATACATACATACATTCAAGTTGCTTTTATAGCACGCCCGGGCGCTCTGCGACACCTAATCGCCACTCTTGTCTATCGACCCAGATGTCATCTGGTAAATGGCATCTTGTAATTTCATCTTGAATGCCACCTATCCACAATTTTGCTGGACATCCCCTACGTCTCCTCCCAGGAGACAAGATATACAAGTTCAGATATACAAGAGAAGAGGAAATATGAAGTTTTAATATTATCAGCTAAGAGAAAGAAATCAGCGCAAAATAATCGAACAATTAGGTACCTAAAAAACAAAAATTCAACACATAGGGTGAACGTTCATGAAGACTTACTTGAGGTGAATTGAATTCTTGCTGTAAACTAAGTTCATTTTGAGAGGGCGAACTATCCTGCGGTGAACCAGATATAACTCCAAATTCTCCAGGATTAGGCATGGATTTTAACGCAGGCGGACCTTGCTCTAGAGAACTGAACCCAAATGAAACCGGACCAGATGATCTGAAACAGTAAGTTAACAATAAGGAAAATGACACAACAAATTGTTCCTTTAGGAACACTTCCTGAAGATTTATCTTATCGATTTATCGTGAGGGAAAAGAGATTCACCTCTCAAAATTCTGATGAGCAAAGTAGTTAGTCTGACTTTAGAGTGGACACAACTTTTTAATCAGAGTTGCCACAAAAATTAGAACAAGAATTTTTCTGATTTATAAGACAAATTTTGGTAAAATTCCCTGACATTTGATGGTGAGCTGGATGGTTAAAAATCGCCACTTACAAACTCGAACATGCAACAACTGTTGCTTGAGACGTGTTAAACTTTTTTAAAAGCAAATAAGAAGAATTCAACACTTCTCCCCTGACCTTTCCCGGTTTTCATCGGCATATTAAAATTCTCTGACATTTCCCGGTTAGCCCTGATTGTGGCAACCCTGCTCATTTCATGGCATAAAAATATCTCGTACAATGATTCACTTTCACAACCGAGTCTTGATAGATCATATCAAAGGCTGAAGTTGAAAAATGTATACCTCCGATTACAACGTTGAAAATCGCTGCACATGTTTTCTTGTTTGAAAAGAAAACTAACGGAGGGTTTTCCTTAAATTTTTTTGCGGACTAATGTATCTTCACTCATTCAAAAATATTCAAAGAAAACTTTAAGGAAATATTTTTGTTTGATTTCTTTTGAAAGAAATAAAACATACTGGAGATGTTTAAACATTACGATGGAGGTACTCATTTTTTTTTCTTAGTGATTGATATAAAATAAAATATAAAATGAGATGTGAGATAATTCATACCTCGGTTCTTTTCAATAAGATACACAGATAGATCAGGCACGAGTTTAAATGCACACATCTCATATCATTCAGAGCTGCATTCTTACCACATGCTATTCTGTTTTTCAACTCTTGTGATAATATTTTTCAGGAGAAAAAAGTTATCATACTGATGACACAAAAATTCGAACTGATGACAAATTATTGTCCCCCAGTAAAAAGAAGAGCAAAAATTCAGGGGAGCATGTGAAACAAAGATTATAGAAATTGCGTTGAAATATTAGAAAATTGACTTTAAAATTCAAGTACTAACCTGTTCAGATGCGCAAGACTCATAGGCATTCTTGTCCTTCCAGGAAGGTCAACTCTATCAGAGGAGCCCATTAAAATCTTGGTACGCTCTATGTGATCCATGTGAGTTTTAAATAATTCCGTGTACCTTTCATGGAGTTTTGAATACTCCTTTTTCATTTCTTGTTCTTTCTCTTCCAGTCTACAGACTAAAAAGGAAGAAAAAGAGAGTGATTAATTAGCATCACTAATTAGATTAATTGAATTGAATTGAGGAAAACAAAAATACAGACGAATTAAAGAAGTTAAGCGTACTTGTGCCCCATGTGTATTTTTACCTTGCATTCTTTTCGGCTGTTTGGTCGGAACCGACTAAATACCAATGAGCTTATACCCATGTCAACATTGCTAGGATTGTGCGTGTATTCAACTGTTCAAATATTTTGGAGGAAAGTTACAATGTGGGTGATTTTGGATAGGTACTTGAAAAAAAGCTGTTCTGTAGGAAAGATCCTCATATGTTATGTCCTAACCTGGGGACTCTACTGGCAGATTCTGTGGGTAAAACCAGACAGTTTTACAATAGAAATACTCAAGGTTTCTCATCATGATGTTACCTCATACCATCTTTAAGTTCAAGTGTTCCCATTTCTCATTTACGCTGAATATCAAGATAAGAGAGTCTCGAAGGCAAAATCATACCTCTTCGTTTTACATCTATTTTATTGAACAAATTGTTTTGAAAAATTTGCATAGAAAGAATAGGATTACGTAGTTATGAATATACTTGTTTTTACTTAGAACCTTACCATGATCTGAAGAATTTTTAAACTTTAATTCGAACATTCGAACGATTGATTCCAGACTTTCGATTTTACTTCCCATAGTTTTCTTTTCATCCTCAATGACATCTTCCATCTCCAACAATTTCTGTAATAAAGTTAGAGAATACTGATAATCATAATATTTAAAAAATAACTCTTGTAAGTACAAATGAAGATCATAGATTTAAAATTTCTTAAATCTACGGTTTGTATTTATTCTTTCAGGTTTATCCTCCTGAAACCTGCGATGATAAAGAAAAAAAACAAAACCGGATATGTAGATGCTAAATCGTCTCAATGAACTCACTGATCTTAGAGAAAAATTTACTGCTCCAACTGTATTTAATCAATGCGGTAATTTCTTTTATGTTTGTTAACTGCTGTGCGTTCAATTAGATTGAGATCGAGTGATTCAGTAAGTAAGTACTGTTTTAATGGATGATCCAATTTAAACTTTCCTTGTTGGATAGATTCTCTTGAGAGGATATAATTCTTAAATACTCTATATTCAAAGAGTGCCTCTATTAGAGAGAGTCTAAGAACCAAGTCAGCAAGGCCAAATAAAAGAAACGTTTACATAACAGTTTAGCCTATGAATTCGCATCAAAACTTGACATACCAATTGCAAAGTTTCGATGCTTGAACCATCTACAGACCAACATGTAAAAATGTGATAAGTCATGAAAATGCATATGGAATACAGCAGGTATGAAATAGATTACTTTGGGATCGCAAGTGCTGGGCCATCCTTTGTTTGAGCTTCATGTTTCCAAGGACCACAGTTCGGAAAAAAATGTAAACATACCTGCTCAGCAGATCTACGTAGCTGTTTCTCTCTTTCATATTGGGTGACAAGTTGTTCATTATCTTCTCTTAAAAGTTCCAGTTCCACCTCCTGTTCTTGATTTTCTGTGTATGAGAGATCCAGACACTCCAAAACATTCACGACGAGAGGCATCAAATTTTGAACAACCTCTTCATCGTACTTGCCAATCATTCGTTCAAATTCTTGGTAGATACTGCCAGCTAAGGAGCGTACTTTTTCTGACATGACAACATGCGATTCGTCATGCGAACTAAACACAACTTCTTGCGACATATTCAGTGTGTTGTAGGCGATGACAGAGATAGAACAAATGTCTCAGGAACAGATTTGGGAGGCTATGTGCACAAGATCATGGTATCATCCTTTTTCACCAGCAAGTGGTAGGATATTCAAAATGTAAATAAAATTTCTTGTCAAATGAAGTATTTGCCAACCTTGCCATTGTTACAAATTGTGAAAGAGAGCTACTTATGACAAGGTTTATCAGGAAGGGAGAAAGTAGTTATGAATGTTGAAATTGGTGATTTCCTTCATTATCCATGAAAAACAAAACTGATCCTAGTAAAATGAATAACGAGTGCTACACAGAATGCTCAAATCTACACTTTCAAGGAAACTTAAAACACAAAACTTGACAAAATTCACAATCAGACCTTATTATCTTACATAAACAAAATACTGATATGATAAGTGAAGTCTCGTTGTCCGAATTTTCCGCACTTTAGCGCTAGTGGTGCCACCAATCATCTGCTGTGTCAGCAGTTCACAGGCGCGAAATTTAAATGAACGGAGAATCTTTCTGGACAGAATCGGTGGAGTGACAGCACATCCATTATGAACAGTTCTCAAAGATATATTTTCTCATATTTTAAAGGCAAAAAAAGTCGCTAAACCGCTTTTCAAAAAATAAAGTTAAGATTCTTATGATAAGTACCTTGTCTTTATCTCTGTGAATAAAAAAAGATCTGCACCCTAAAATTCACTGGACGCTTGATAGATAATCCTGGTCCATATGTATTTTGGGGCACTGAGTCCGAAAATACCCTAGAATTATCTCCCACACCGCCAATTGTCTAAAAAGACGGGCTTTTTCAGTGAAAATACGTTTATGAAAGAATTGCTGAAATACGCGGAGAAAAAAACCCAGGCCATTAATAGATTAGGCCGCCAAAAATACGTGTTGATAAATAGGTATTTTGTCCCATGGAAGTGGCAGAACCTGTCCACAAATCACTATGAAAAACTACTTCGTTTGTTTTGGAATTCCTAAAATCCTGGAATGGAGACCCTGTGTGAAAAAGTGAACTGCTTTTGTACAGGTAAATATAAGTCGAAAATGTGACAAGCTTCAGAAAACCACTCATGTGGGCCTAATCAGAATGCCATAGTTCTCTAATGAGGAAAAATCTAGAATGGGACCTTTTTAATGGTACCTACGTCATTAGAGAGAGTCATTCACCCTGTGAGAATCTTCTTTTCAGCGGGAGTCAAATGTTCCTCGCAAAAACTTGGGAAATTATGATATCATATTATTAAAAATTGAATATGATTTGACCTAAGAAAGTTAAAGTTATTGAAAGTATGAAAGTCAAGAGGCAAAAAACTTATTTCTTTCCATAATTTCTCATATTTGACTTTTTTTTCTTTCATTTTCCGCTATACATTCCTGAGGGCTGATTGTTGAAACTTATTAGCACAATATTCAGGCAAAGCTCAATCTGTGCCACTCGCACAATCAGTATGCACCACTTGAAATTTGATGTCGTGTTGTACTAGCACAAGTTTCAACGATCCACCCGCTGGAAAAAAACTAATAGTTAAATAAGTTGAACCGTTAAATTTCGCACATATTCAATACATAGGTGCTCATTGGAAATTAAATTTTTCGTAACAGCTTTAAATACATATTTGAGATTATTTTATTTTTTTTTGTGTTCATTCCATCAAAAATAAACAATAGATAATCAAAGTACCTACATTTGTAAGAGAGGGGGACGTCAAATTTGGGAAGCTTACAGAAAAATTTTCTTCTGCTATACTACTCTTTTTGTGCTTTAGCTACTGAAATCTATAGGAAAATTATCCAATGTAATTAAGAAAACTCATGGTGCTATAACGCCATACAAGTTGAATTCAACTTGGGAGCAACAATATTTGACGGTTCATTAACGTTCTCAATTCACATCAGAGTCGGTTAAATACATGTAGAACTTCAGGTACTCATGCTGAGAAAGAGAGAGATAAGAAAGATGCATATACATAGTGCTTCATGTGAAAAATTTATTTGACTGAGTATTTAGAAAATTTACAACTGATTGTTTCCAGTAATAATCCCTCCATAAGTTCTAAGCAAACATACATTCAAACATGCTCAATTTGAATTACTTATGGTTTAAAACATGAAAATAGTTTACGTAAAACTAGTGTGGCTCACTGAGCCTGCCATCTGTACGTTTAACTGTCTGGAAATGAATATTTAAAAATAAATAAGTAAAAAAAAAATATCTTACACAGTCTGTGGGCTGAAGAAATTTTTAAGGACGACAGGAGAGATTCAATATCAATTCAAGAGAGAGATCTGCAAAAGAGAGGAAGTCCACAAAGAGATGAGAACTTACGCTTTCTCAATTGCCAATGAATCTAATATTAATCACTTTATCATTCTTTTAAAGTTGATAGTTTTCCTTTAAAATAGGAAAGAGAGAAAAAAATAGGACAGCTTTCAGTAAATCTGTAAAAATAGTCAGTGCAGTGTTTCGATACTATTTTCAATTTTCAAGAGATGGAATGAAAGAAAGGGTACCTGTAGTAAATAAATGATGGAAAACATTTTTCGATACTTTTTTTTGTTCTGTCTACATCAAAATTCTATGAGAAAACAGGTCATTTACGTATCAACAAATCGCAGCATGCAAACGAGGACTGTGCATGTGTTGTCCACCTGGCTGATCAAGCATTGGTGAATCGAAAATTATGAAAGATAAAAAGACATTTATTGCGGACATTATTCGGTTCTCGGATTCCAGTTGTTTACATCACCTTAAACAAAAGTTGTATTAAAATGTGAGCTGCACACAGCACTGCCTGCTTTACAAATTGCACAAACGCCGAACAGGTATATTGGTCTTAGAGGCTCTTGACAATGAAGAAAGAATGTATATTGGATAGACAAAACTGAGGAAAGTATCTATTACCTTACAGCACCAGTATCTGTTACATCAGGATAAACTACACCGAAAAAGAGAGTGCACATTATAAACATTTATAAAATAATTATGAAAAAAAAAATAAATAAAAAGAGAAAAATTGAAAAAGAGAAAATACTAAATAGTAAAAATGAAAAAGTTTTAGAATTTCATTACACACTTCATTGGTGTATTTCCCGAGGGAAAGAAATACTTATGTTTTTTTTTTCCAATTTCAAAAACTCTTAGAGCTTGATAGTTTGCTTAAAATTGTGGAACAATTTATTTGCGAGTAACAAAAAATTAAAATGTAACTTTAGTTCTCCCTTCAGGATAAAAATTACAAAAAAGTAAAAATAATCGATCAAAGACAGCATATTGGAAAATCCTGGTAAAAATACATATTTCACCGGTAAAAAAGTCATGAATACATATATACACGTCTGGAAACAAGAGTCATAGAAATGGCAATTTTATTACTTGATTGAAGATCATTGAGGAAAGAAATTGACTTAGGCATATTTTCTAATTTACAAATAAAATTGAAGCAATCATAAAGAAAGAAAAAATAAGAAAAAAAAATAACCCATGAATATCCCTTAAAGAGTGACAGAAAAATTTTACAGGTAATTATTTCACCAGAAAGGTGTTACATATTTAGTGGGACGGTTTTCTTCCGACTCTCCTTGGCCCCACCATTAAGTAAATTTCTTGAGAATACATACTTCTATTATATTAATCTGAAGTGGGAATATAAAGTTACTGAAGTAAATTGGAAACACCCTTTCTAAAAGAACTTTTGACCCTATCAATGAATTTAGGTAACACCTCTTATTTGTACATGTAACGAATGCATGTAAGTTTTGCGCGCGCATGATAAAATTAATATTTACATATTTTTTCAAGGTGATTTGCCCCTGATTCTGACATGGTCGATATATTCCTTGCTAGTTCAACCATACCAGACAAATCACCTTAACTCAGGTGATGTTTTAGCTTTTGAAACTTTACGAGAAACATTTTTTCTCACGATACATAAAACTCACATGCATACTTTGGTATTTATTGATCTTAAATCTAAATATTGAAACGGCAATTTCAAAGAGAGACTATGAAATTTAAAATTTATTTGCCACCATTTCTGACACTGGCAAAAGTAGAATTCTTTAAATTTCAATACGATATTGATACTTTTCATTTGCTCGCAATTTACCGAACAATTATTGGTACATTATTGAAGTAGTTCATAATTCTATTGTAAAAAATTAAAAATGAAGGGGAGCCAAAAATGAGAAATCTTTGGTGGATCGGAGAAATTTGAGTTCACAAAAAATACTGCAAAACCATGGTATGAGGCGTCTCTTATCCAAGTCAACTTTTAGAGCTTGATGCATTGTCACTTTCGGTCACTTTCTTCTTCGAACTAGCTGATGAGGGTGAATATAGTAAGCGTAGTCTTTCATAATATATTTGATCCTGAAACAGAATATGTAAAAAATAAATTAGGCGGTGAGAATTTTGTCAACATTTTTTGCACTAAAAACTTGTGATAAAATAGATGCTCCAAATCAACTATGCATTAAATATTCGTTGGTGATATCAGCTGATCAAACAATCAGGAAAAATGTATCTCCTCTAAAATAAAAAAATTCCAGAAAATACAAAGCTCCTTAAAAGAGACAGTCCACTTGTGTCACTTTGTGCATTGAAACGGTGACGGCCTAGATAAGTGACAATATTCTTTTCTTTGCAATATTCGATCAATAAGAGATGAAGAGAACCAACCCTTGCCAGGAAAATAAAATTTGGCCTGATTCGAATTTCCCATTAATATGAGCTGGAGGTGGTAATCTATTTTTTGGTATGAAATAGAGAAGAGAATCATGATTTTATTAAATATTATTTTTAACCGTACTGCTGAAATAGTAACTATTAGATTCACCTTCATCAAATTACACTTCATCACACTAATCAAGATTGACATCACTCTTTAATACTTTGGTATACTCAGGGGCAGACAGGCAGGCAGGAAAAATCTTATATGATTTTATTTTTAGAGTAATATTGAACCACTTAATCTCCTTCCCACAGCAAATAACGACTTAATTCAGCCGATTCAAGCACCGATGAGCCAATGTTCCGGGTTACATTTTTGGCCCCAGTGCTTCCCTAAGTAAGTTCTAAGAATCATTCAAACAAACCTTATCAGATACTGATTTTCGTATTTTCTTCAATGCAGCCTCGAAATGCCTAAGGGAAATGGATTCAAGGCCTCCTAACACTGATGATGGTTCTTCTAAGTACTCCCTAAGCGCCTGGACTCCTGCTTCTCGAACAAGGGCAGCAAGATCAGCACCAGAAAACCCTTCGCACAACTCACTGAGTCCTACTTCATTTAGGTTTACATCCGAGTGCAGAGCAGGACACGTGCCATTCTACAATCAAAACACACTATGAGGTTAATGTGGTTTTTAAAGCTTGCGAGTAGAAATCATCACTAATACACATATGACCATTCCTAAATTTTCAAACCCATTTTTTCTACATTATAGTTTTTCAATGCTTCAGAGCTCTTAACAAGGGGAGCAAGAAAGTAAAAAACACATCAAGGGGCTTGTAAAGGCCGCAAACTGGCTTCGCAAGTCCATTTTGATAGCCAAAATGCAATACCACCTACTTGACTTAAATTTTGGCAAAAATGAGTTAGCAACTTTCCCACATTCTACAGTAAAAAAGACAGTGAAAAAGACTAATAACATTGAGCCTAAAACCAAATTTCTTGTTCAGCACAGTGTAAGTTTAGGCCAGCTCAGACCAACCATGAGTCCAATGTGAGCTTTCTTCTTGGTTGAGCCTGTTAATATTACAGTTATATTGACTCAATTTGCAGCTGACCATAGCCAATAAGAAAAAATTGACTTTTTTGTGAATTTTTCGACTAGGTACTCACATACCAATACCAGGTGATATGAGAAAAAAAAAAACTGCTTACAGATTACTGTCAAGTGAGGTACAAACCTTAGTGAGAGCTTTTAAAATATCTACTCTTCCTTCAGGTGACGGAAGTCCTATGTACAGAATTTTGTCTAAACGTCCTGGTCTTAAGACAGCAGGATCAATCATATCAGGCCTGTTTGTTGCTGCCATTAAGAATACGCTTTGCCTTCCTTCTACGCCATCCATCTCAGTAAGAAGTTGGTTGACAACTCTCATTCCTCCTCCACTCTGGCAGAGGAAAATAAAATTGAACAGTTGTTAAATTTGTATACTGTTGCCATCGGAAAGTGGGCATATGGGTGGGGCACCACTCTTGTTATTGTTTCTCCTGATGCAAGAAATGCTAGAGATACTTAAAAAAATTTTATTTTCCAAATATGTGTTTCTGAATACATGAAGAGACAAGAGAAGAGGTCATAATATTGGCACTGGTCAAAATTCAAAGGAATAATATACTGCCATTTAATCTCTGGGCACTTCGAAACCTTTACAGGTTACAATTAGACTACATTTTGCTATAAGGAACAATTATTTTTGGCTAATTTTAGAAACAAAATATGTGCCATTAGTTCTCTTATGTAGATACGTGCTTTTATAGGTGAGCCACAAATAGTGGGTCCTTATTGCAACATGCACTTAGAGTTCTTTGGGGCTCATCTAAAAAGTACGTTTCAAAACTTTGTTGCTCCAGAAAGAAGCAAGGTAGGGCAATTTTAAAAATTATTATTTATAGCTTCATACTTTCAAATAGCGTGTCTTATCTTTTGTACTTTATCAAAGTGAAAACTCAGAGCTTTTCTCTTAAAGATTTAAAAAATTAATTAGATTAATATTGTTCACTTACATCCCTGGATTCTGAACGCTTCGGACAAAGAGCATCTAATTCATCAAAGAAAATTACGCATGGCTGCGAGTTGCGGGCTCTTTCGAAACACTGTCTTACAGCTCGTTCACTTTCTCCAAGATACTGAAAATATGAGGTGCAAAAAGAAGGAAAATAAAATTAATTGGAAACATTTGAACTTTTTAAAATAAAAAAAGCAACATGTCTGGTATCTATCTACAATAATTCAGTCAAAAATATATTGAGAGACAAATTAAGAGACCAAGTAACATTGAATAATGAGGATTATGTACAGATCCCCGAATTTTGAAATTCTCTATCAATTTCATATGGAAGGAATTTGAGTGTCATCAAAAGACCGCAACTAATGAAATCAAAAAAGATACATACATTTAAATAATGACTTTACAGAAAAATATAAAAGGAAGTGATATCACAGTTTCCATCAGTATTCAGATCTGAATAAATAATTAACTCTATATGTGATATGTACTAAATTCTGGAAACGAAGATATACAACATCTACAATAAGATCTAACACTATTTCAGTTGCACCAAAATGTTTTCTAACAGCAACTAAACAGGGGCTTTTAGATTAATATTTAAAAAAAAAAAAAAAAAAAAAACCAAAATTTAGGCTTACAACCGTACTTCTGAACACGCCTTTCCAGTGGAGGTGGGTAAGAAACTTTTTATTTTGTTTTTCTCGCTTAACATACCTGACATGGCCCACCTCACCCTCTATCAGTAATTTATTAATCTGCATGTAGGTCTAATGACGAAAAATTGTTAATGAGATGGAAAATATTAGGAATTTCATCTTTTTCAAAATGGATATTATGATCAGTTTTGATTGAAAGAATGTTAACGCATAAAATCTTCCATACATGGTGACTTTGAATAGTTTTTACAACTTATTGATAAACCCTTTCTCACTCACCATGTTCAGCAACTCAGGACCTTTTACAGATATGAAATTAATTCCAGCTTCATTAGCAACAGCCTTGGCAAGGAGCGTCTTTCCACAGCCTGGAGGACCACATAGCAACACACCAGTTGGAGCAGTTAAACCCAAACGTGTAAATAACTCAGAGTGCTGAACTGGGGCCTGAAACAAAGAGACAATAAAAATGTATCATTGGATTACTTTGAAATACATGACACTTGCATTGCACTCTTTAAAAAAGAAAAAAAGGAAAAAAAAACTTGTTCCATTCAAATTAAACGCAACATTTTGATGAAAAATGCAGTGTTTTAATTTTTGTACAACATTTTATGGCAAATCACACCGCTAGATTCAGAGAATTATTAGAAGACAGAACTAAACAATTCAGTTTCCAAAGAAGGCCAGGGGATTTTGACTCTCTGAAAGTATGGTTTTCAACAAGTGTGGTAAATGTTTTTGAGCCGAAACAAAAAATTATGATGCCAAACAAACTAATTTTTCTGAGGATATGGAACATATGAGAATACGGAATGCATAAGCTTTCACAACATATGAATGAGGCTATTGGTCGTATGTTAGTGCAATCCTTGGAAGATGAGATTCTTTAAACTCATTTGGGTTCATCCTACACAGACCGGTACTCCAATATGAAGTGATTAATCAACAATGTACTTACACAATGCACTATTTTAAGTACCTTAAAGTTAATTTATTTGATTTTTACTCAAAAATATTCGAGTTCATTGAGATTCAAATGACAGGAGACAAAATTTTACTTTGCGAAAAAGCACCACCTTTAGCAATTTCAGAAATTTAAATTAATTGGGTCAAACCTTACCAGAATTGCCATTTGCAGTTCTTGTCGAATGTCATTGAGGGAGCCAACATCATTCCAGGTGACGTCAGGTACGGTAGCAAAACCTTCTCTCTTCGATGATGGTTGAACTGTTTTTAAAGCTTTCTCAAAATCAGCAAATTCAACAAACAACTCCGATAGTTCTGCTTCACTCAGTGGCGTCTTGTCACGCAACCACTCCAATAGACTTTCAATTGACTCATCGATAGCTTCTTTCGAGTTTAAGCCGAAGCTGCAATAAAATTTACTTTTATCTGATTCCGGAGGAACCTTTTCAGAATCATTTGCTGGTTCTTTCATGTTTGCTTCATTGGTTTCCTCAACTTCCATTGGTTGTACTTCCTTGCTGGAATCTTCCGTTTCTTTTACATCTGACTCCTTTTTTTCGTCTCCATAATAATTGCTAATTGATTCTTTCAACCTATCTTCTGTTAAGACAAAACTTTTCTCTACAATAACATCTTCACCATTTTTTTCTTTAGTTTCACTTTTCTCGGCTTCATTGCTCTTGGATTCAACTTCCACAATATCACAGTCTGAGTTTTTGTCCGATGTTTCATTGGTCTTCTCAGGTTCTGGTAAGATTGTTATATCTTGAGAATTTTCATCGATAGTGATGTCATCATCCTTGCTCTCTTTGTTTTTAGCATTATCATTTGACTGAATCACTTTCAACCTTTTGTTCTTGACATCCTCACAAATTCTGTAAAATTATAAAAAAAAAAAAAAAAAATACTCCATTATAATGGTTAATAAACATTAAATGTACTCATACGCTGAGAGCAAAACTCTGTGAGAAGACAGTATCGTTTGTGATGTAGAAACTGCAGACAACATTTGAAACTGGTTAGGAAATTAAGGAAATTGGATTCTAATTTGCCTTTATTTGGTCTGTAATTGAACTTGGTAATTGAGTATAAATGCCTACTTTAATGATGCCTGCTAATTATTGGGCCTCGAAGAGCCCTATAAAAGCCAAAAACAGCTGAGCAAATCATAAATGGATCCCCAGATGCACGTACTCTCAGTAGAATGGTCCACAATTGAATCTTTAGGTATTGACATTGAAAAATTGGAACGGAACTGAACAGTCATTTTCACTGGACACTCAAATGCAAAATACTTAAAGCAATTTACCTGCTGACAGCTGCGATAGCTGCTTCTCTTGTCAATGATTTCAGGTCTGCGCCAACGTAACCTGGTGTCAATGCTGCTAGCTGTTCAAGACTAACATTCTTGGAGAGTTTCATGTTGGTCACTAGAATTTGAAGAATTTGTAACCTTGATTTTTTGTCAGGAATTCCAAGACAGATTTCTCGATCAAATCTTCCAGCTCTCCTTAAAGCAGGATCCATACTGTCATGACGATTGGTTGCACCAATGACTAATACTTGATTTCCTTTCTCTGCATTATCTAAATCTATAGAATGAGAGAAATCTTGTTAGGGTATGAACTCAGAATGACGATTTTTTAAAAAAAAAACACTTCATACAGAGATTTCCAATACCTAACTAGCTGTAATGTTTTGTTCTTTCATAAGGGGCAGATATCTTTAGACTTTTGTTGCTTTTGAAAATCAAGTGGACAACTCTTTAGATGTGGTCGATATTATTTTTTACTTTGAAACTTCTAATTTAGAGGCTTTTTTGTATGACCTCCAACAGATAAATAGAGAGAATCTCTTTCTCCTTTTGAGTGCTAGGACTTTAAGAAACCAAGCTTGGTGGTACTGGCTAAAGTAGTTGGCTAAGTGGTGGCTGAAAAGTTGAGAATACAAAGACTTTTCCTTTATAGGGGACGGCAACCCTAAAATCGAAAAAGAAATAGTATTGAAAATTGAAGCAGGCAGGTATAAGAAGCAAAATGGCTCAGTCCCGAATGAAACATTCACAAAATCGGTAGAGATATGAAAGATTGTAAGTCTGACTGGTGATGTCATGCGCTCCCCGTGCGACTGCGGCTCACATGCACGCAACTCAAAGTCTGGCGCGTTTGCTGTCCAGCGTCGCAAAGTTGCCTTAATAGTCACACCTAAGCAAAAAAAAGAGTCAGCCAGGAAAGAGCGAGATTGGGGCGAACTAATAACTTGTCGCGAACACACGTCGGCCACTTGACACCGGAGACAGAATGCAGAGTGCTGACTGCAAAGTGCGAGACAGAGCTCATGATGTCACTTGTTCAGCTGGTTTTTCGTGATAGCGGCTCAACAAATGCAGATATTCGCAAACGGATTTCGGCATTGTTCATTGCAAACTTTTCTTCGTTGATTTCTAGCCTAACTTGTTTTTAAGGTTGCCGTTCCCTTTAAACAAGAGAAATTGCTGCCCTCACAATGTCTGTACAATAACCCAAGTTCAGCTGCATACTAACTTCTAAGTAAAGTCTCTTTGCTTCCTCTCTTCATTTCTCTACTTTTTATTTTTTCTTTTCTCTTTGTATAGGGTCCAGTGTTTGCAAGCTTTGAATTAATGGGTCTGTAGCATACTTGCAGTCCATGCTGTAAATAATATTTTTTTTCTTCTTGGTTTCATTTGATCCTTTGTTTGTTTTTTGGTATTGCTTTGCGTTACGGATTGTATTTTTCCAGGTTCTAAAGCATTTTAACCCATTCGCATGTATTGAGGAGTATACTCGTCATGGTGCGCCTCGGAAAAAAATGCACTGACAAGTTAACTCAGTTCCATTGCGCCATCTCGTGGCGTTCCTAAGCCATTGTTTTTGTTGTGTTCCTCCAAATTTTTGATAGATAGCACTATTACTATTGCTCTAAGTATTCTGTTGCTAACCTGAATGAATCTAAGTGATTTTTTTTTCATATGAAGCAAAGAAGTATTATTATTGAAAAACATAACTGTGTTGCTATGCGGCTGGAGCATTTACAACGACATGCAAATGGGTTAAGAGACACTCAATGAAGAAAAAGCGAAAAGGTTCGAGTACGCTAAAAAAATTAAGGCACATTGAGACAAGGTTGAGCACTTACTATCGAGAGAGCATAAAAGTTGCGCTACTATCCTCTGTTCCATATTACGGTGGGCAGACTCTCGCCTCGAACTAATTACATCAACTTCATCAATAAACAAAATACAAGGTGCTAAGGAGACGGCTTGCTCAAACAAATCTCTTATTCTTTCTTCACTTTCACCTGACACTCCAGCAACTAGTTCAGGTCCAGCAACTTTTAGCAATGGCAGGTCTAATTCCTGGAATAGATAGATGCTACAGTTGAATCGCTTTCCTTTAAAGCATTCACTTAAGCAGGTTGGAGACACAATAATTTTCGGATTAAATTTTTGCAGGTGATAATACCTGAGTAAATCAAAAGGGAATCATGGCCAACTAAAACTTTAATTAGGGATCAAAGGCAGTTAACGTTTTTCAGCAGTCATCCTCATGACAACATATTACTCTTGAGAGCCTTTAATCATATTCTTGAGGAAAGGTAAAGCTTTCAGAGGATCCTTCATCAAAGTTCATGATCAAGTTAAACAATAATTAAATATTGATCATGCATTTTTCAATAGCCATTAATAAATTCAAAGCTTTAAATATGATTGAAATAAATTTTTTTGTTCTTTCAAATCAAAGGACATTTTTTGGATTGCTCTTCAGCAATTTAGAATCAACAAATTCTTTCCTTTGTCCATTATTGAAGGGAGAAAGCAGAACACGTGGAATAAATGTATAATGTGAAGTATCAAAAATGGAGGGAAAAAAAGAAAAAGGATTTACCCCAGCAATTGCATGAGCAAGAAGAGTTTTTCCACAGCCTGGAGGTCCATGAAGGAGAAACCCTCTGGGTAATGTAACTCCTATGGTTTTATACACTTCTGGATGTTTCAGATGAATTAAAAGTTTGATTACTTCCTGAAACAAAACCAAAGAGGCAGATGAAATAACAATAAATCATTTGACAACAATTTTCCGATTCAACAATTCCTACAATTCCGCCAGTATGGAGCCCAAGCTAAAAAACTACAAACCAGTGACAATCCATAGAAAAGTCCCTATCCTCAGGTAAAAATCAGGTAAATCATGATTTTGATACCCTTCAGTGATACAAAAACCTACGAAATAAAGGCACTTTTGGTAGTATGTATCCTCAAATAATAACCAGACTATTAAGAAAAATAAACTTGGCGCAATTAAGACTGGTAAATTGAGAAATACAACAAATAATATGCAGTTAACAGGGTCCACTTCAAAATTATAGACTAAAACTCACTTACTCAAATAAAAAGCAAATGAATGTAGCCAACACTTTTCAGGAACACTTTTCGCCTTCCTCAAGGTAGAATGGATCCCTGAATAGATTTAGAGTCTGCCCTGAGTAAGGAGATAAAAGTTCCTAAAACATGTCATCTATTGTTCATTAACCTAGCTGAGGAAATTTGAATTGGTATTTTGATTTTAATCACAATGCTGTTAATGGCTCTTGAATATGAAATGTTCTTTAGATTCAAGAGTTAAAAATTAAAGCCCCGAGGATTAAAAACTGTTTTCTCTATTCCAATATTGAAAAATTTGGGAGATGTTTTGATTTTTTAAAAAGAATAACCAACATGACTTTATGCGTGAAAGGCTGCCATAGTTCCTTGCTAATACATAGGAAAATTTCAAGAAAGGACAAACACAGAGGCTCACGGGCACTCTTTATAAGGTATTAAAAAGATTGCCAAATTTATAGACTGGAGAATAGAGATTGCAGCTTTGATCCTTGGTTTTTCAATTAAAGAGACCTAACATATTAAGAGTGCAAATTTTTGAGCTATAAAAGCTATTTTTTGGAAAGTGAATTGTAGTCATTCCTTCACTTACTTCGACAGTTTTCCGATTTCCACCGACATCTTTCAGAGTAACCGTTGATTTGGTCAGAGGGATTTCTCTCTTCTTCCTACGAAGCAACGATAAAGGTGGAATTAGAGACCCTTCGCCTGCTTTCCGTTTTTGACCTTTGGGAGCAGGAACTTCAGAACTCGGAGGAACCTGAGATGGAAGCTATTAAAAATGAGTTAATATTAATATAAAATTGAGTAAAAACTATAATGAAAGTATACTGTTCTGAATAAAAAAATACATGCTTTAAAACATAAAATTAATACATGTTCTGTTTTATGATTATATTTTTTCGTTTTCAAAATTTAGGGTAGTTTCAGTTTGAATCAGAGACAATCATAGTCATACTTGCGCTTGACGCAATATCTGCTTATAAAGTATAGCAGCAGATCAGTTTTCAAAATGTGTGTTCAAAACCTACATTTATACAAAATTCCATGTTACTACAGTCCGCATCCGCACACTTGGAAGTAAAATGTTAACTTGCAATCGAAAAGTGTTCATTTCGTGTGACTTGTAGTGTAGGACACGAAAAGTGGCCGCTGAGGGACGGAGTCGGATGAGCCGCTAAATCTATTGTTTAAACATAGATTGGCTGCCGCAAACTAGGGCCCTTTGAATGTGTCAATATACCTGCGTTTCTACCCTTAAGCGATAGATTGGGTCACTCACCTGACTCCGCCTCTCAGCCACACTATTGACTATTGTGAATTTCTACAGATAACCTTTGGGTAGTATATGTCCTACCAGGCAAGGAAAATGCTGCTCTTTTATGCAGGCACAAAAGAAATAGTTTGAAGTTGAGAAATTATATGAAAGCTCTTAAGACAAGAGAACTTTAAATCTGCATGGCTGGACCCAAAAAAGCAGAGTGCTCAATTTTTCAAAACTCTCTGTACTCTGGGTTGAGTTTTGCTCACGATGCCAATAACATCTCAAACTTTCAAAGATGTCACATAGCTCTTTCACCTGTGAAACTGATGGTTAAAGTGCAAGATCATGTTTCTCCATCTGCAATGTCATGGACTTTCTGTCATACTTCATTTATTGTTTTTTTGGAGGGGGGGGGGGGACAAGTCAACATAATTTCTTGAAAATTGCTTTGATTTCTTTCCTCTGTTTGCAGAATATTCTGAATAAATATTGACCTGTAAAGTTGGCTTATATCTCTTCAAAAAAATAAAATAGGAGCAGAAATGGAACATCGCGATGGAGATACAGGGTTTCGCACTTTAGCCATTGATACTCTATAAATAAAATACATTCACACTGAATTGTTCAAATTACTGGGAGTTTATATTGCTATTAATACTGCTAGAAATTTCTACCGGTTCAGTGGGCGCTGGCGATGTAACAGATATTTCAGTATCATCAGCTATTTTTGAAATTTTTGTACGTTTCCTTGAATTCATCTGCTCTGAATTGCTTTCATCATCACTACTTAGATTGATTAATTCTTGATCAGTTTGTCCAGGTGTGCTAAAAAAACAGAAATTGTTTGAGTGCTGTTTAAATTTCAGGGAGAATGGTGAATTCTAGCATATTTTGGACAAGGAAGTAAAAAGGAATGCAATACTTTTCTCACAAGAGACAGAAATCATAAACCAACTTTGATTGCTGGATTTGAAACTAAAAATCGCTATTACCCACGGTAAAATCGCCGCCAAATAAGTTTACACACTTTTAGACTGTGTCAAAAGATTGTCTGACGTCAGTTTAGCATTGAAAGTGAATGCAAGAATCAAGATGGCAGATCTTCTGTCCCAGTATTAAAAAACAAAAACTTATTTGGCAAGTACTCTATCCAAATGGTAAAAAATGAAAATAATGATCAGTAACAGGTGTTTTGACCTTGTAATCCCCAAATAAATTGATTTAAAATTAATTATTTTTTTGAGATGATACTGCATCAGTCACTAATTATTAGCATTTTGTTGTCTTGGAAATAAGATAGAGGCATAGGTAGTTTAAAATGAAAGATTCATAAAAATTTGGATTTTTTTGGGTCCAAGTCACCCGTTTCAATTGCCTACATACATAAAATTAAGAGAAATTCTTTTTGATAATGAGAAACTGACACAAAGGTTGAAAAAAATGAAAAATTACGGTGAGTTGGATGGAATTATCATCAATTATGACAAAGATATTTGCCACTAAATCTAGAAAACCAACATTCTGAACTTTTCGTCACTCAGAGAGATGTAGGTGATGGTCGAAACTTACGTCAACTAGTGTTTTAGTTCATCTAGAGACTTATCAGTGATGCTTCAAATTAATCTTGCACAGTAGAAAACAGTAACACATCAGGACGATTCCACTTTCAAAAATTTGCAATTGTAAAAGGATAGAAATACATTGTATGGTTGAATATTACCTTGTATTAGGATTGTTTTTCTTCACATTGGGAGATGATGCATAGAGGTTTGCGAGCTGTTTGTTGACTAAATTTGGTTCCTAAAATAAGGTTAAATAAAATAAAACAGAAATCAGAAACAATTGAAGTCGAAAATTGTTGAAATGAGAGGTAAAATATCATCGTTGAAGACAATGGGTCTTTTGCGATAGTGAACAGAGTTGTTGGTCCGTGCGGTAAATGGCCCTTAAAATCGCTATTAGTTGAGAAAGACTGCGATTCACTCCTCTCTTCACAATCTACATTTACATACTTTTCAGGTTCCTACTTCAAAAAGTATGCTACAACAAACATGAAGTATACAATTTTACTTTTTACTTTCTTTTTTAAATGTGAAAATTGTTGAGAGCAAAATTACACCCGATGAGAGTTCATGTTCTATTAGTTATTGTCATAAAATAGCTGGGATGTACTCACTTTCTCTGGGACGTCTACAATGATATCATCATCATCTTGATTATCCTCTTCATCAGCTCTACTTTGCCCATTACTAGAATCATTTGTAAAAGAGGAGTTGATATTTGAATTGTTGTGGGATGAGTATGAATTATCTCTTCCGTTATAATCATTTTGTTGCAATAGGTACTGATAAGCTGAAAAAAAAGGGTGAGGATTGTTAGAGTTGAGCTGACAACAAATTAAAATGGACAACTTTTTATTATATCTGAAATTTCCTGTTCATTGCTTCAAAAAGTTGAAAATATTGCCATGGTTAACTTTACAGTCAAGTCTGTAGGACCTTCATACAAGGAAATAAAATGGACCCTTTTAAAAAGGAGTTTAAATACAATAAAAATGCAATCATTTTGTGTGAGGGGGGGAGGGGAGCCACCTGCATGGTATTTTAGTATGGTAAAAGGGTTGAGGACATGCACTCCACTGCCTGACTATGTGAACTATGTACTTTCCAGCACTTCCTCTAAGATATCAACTTTTTTGACCCATGTTGTTTTACCATTTTGAATTTGATTCTCTTTACGGCCTCATCTCTTACAAGGTAGGAAACCATGTACGCAGCTCTTCTAGGCAGCTCTATGCAGTTGTATTGATTATCATTTATTGGCTGTTTCAGAATTTTGAAAAAGTCCACGGTAGAAGTTATGAATTTCCAAAATTGTGAGCTAAAGAATTGTAATGGAGAAAGATGGAATTTAGTCAAGATAATAAATAAAATAATAAATAAACCCTTGAGAGATCATAAACTTAACTCTTTATGATGATGAAATTGAACCGACACTGGGTATATATGGCTTGTCCCCAAGACTCCGGAAAAGTAGGTTGCATTAATAACTCTACATTCTTACAAATTGCCTATAATGATGAAAAACGCCTTTCCTGAAAAAAATTGTTCTCTCTACCAGGGCCGGTCTGATACTTCAATTCATTCTCATGATGATTTCCAATTAATCACTTGACTTCACCTGACCAAACCAAGTCCACAGTTTTGGACAGATATACGTTCCAAGTAACTTGCTTGCTGAGGTCCATTTCCAAAAGTTTGCAGGTCCTTCTTAGATGCTCCTAAGTTCTACTATTCCTTTGTAACCAACTATTGGAAAATATTTGGTCATTAGAGAATTGACAGAGTTAGTAGGTACAGAAGGTATAGGATCTCTATACCTTCTGTACCCTTTCTACGAAATGTAACTAAACTCAGAGTTGGAGAAACTTTGTTAATTGGACTGCTCCATAAATGAATGTAATCCGATAGACTTTGGTGCTTGGACTGTACTGTTGATCAACTTGTTACTTGTTGTGTGTGTTGACTTCTTTCAACTATTTGTAGAACCATTGAGTAGGAAACTGAAGTAAAGGTCTCACCTCTGCTAACCATTCCACGGAAGGCAATTCTTTTCCTCCTTGCGTAATCTCGAGGATACCTTTGCTGCAAACTATCTGCCATCATTGTAACGTCAACATACTGCCTGTTCCTATTTTCATCGATATACTGCGGAGGAGCAAAAGAGAGCAGATTTGGTTTTGAGACACAAGATTCAGGGGAGTAAACAGACAAGTTTGTAAATGATACTCTTGCATGCAAATAACATTCAAATTCTTTGACACCAGAATTATATGCCGAATGTAGCTTGAATGTGGAAGTCATTGGTACAGTGTCTGAATTCTGCGCATGTCGCGCAAAATTCAGCAACGAAGCTCAGCGCCCATCGGATAATGTTGGATTTTTCTGAACTATTAGAATAGATGGAATACAAATCTTGATGAAAAAAACTCGAATTTTTCGAAATTTCAGCCATTGAGCAATGGCTGTCAACTTCCATATTCAGCTGCCAAATTCAGCGTGTGATTCAGGCAAATCAAATTCAGTATAAAGTGTAGATTGTAATGCCACAGAAGTACCAACTCAAGCTTACTTCAGGTGGAGTCCTTTTCATTTTCTGTATCATCTAAGAGACAGGGTATAGCATACAAAGAACTTAAACAAGGTGCTCAACAAAGCAGGTTTAGAGCATTAATTAGCATTTAGGAGTAACCAGTGGCAAGGTAATGATAGCAGAATGCAAACTATTGCCGTTATCGTTTTAACATTCAAAATTGAAGAGCTCAGGATCTGCCCATTGGAACACATATTCCTGCGAGCATTTTATTGATAAAATGATTGCATGCATTGTCTGATATATGAGCAGGAAAGCACATTGAAGTCACTTTCGACTGTCACAAAGGCAATAACAAGTGAAACACATAACGAAGTAAGTACTGCACACAGATCTGTCAATGGTGAATGGAGAGATTTAATACATGTATTGTGAGCAAACTAACCTGCCGCACACGTGGTACAAGTTGAGGATCCGAAAAATGAAAGGGAGGATTATTCGGATGTCTATTTTTCGTGAAATAATTCGGCATATTGCAAGAGCTCTTAACTTACGAGTTTAATTTTAAAATCACAGTCCACTAGCCGAATTCGGCGGGTAACATAACCTAAAACGATGAGGCCATTTGTTTGTTTTGGTTGTGAAAGGCCATGTGAGTCACGTGACTAAAAATACAGCATTGCCAACCAATGCAATTATCTCCGCTCACTCACAAATTCCGGTGGATCAGGAATTTTGAGATATACGCAATAATTTTTCTAATTGAGGAAAAAAAATTGTTGAATCTGACTTTTTAAAATTGGTTTTAGATTTTTTAACAATAAAAAATTCGCCATTGCAATTTATTTACGCCTCAGTGAACCTGAGTGCCTAGTAGAAAAAGGTTCAGTACTTTTCACTCCTGACGAAGTTTGATCGACCAAATGTGAAGCGGTAAATTTAAAAGAAAATCTGTCTCTTTACGAGCGATAACTAACTATGGTCAAAGTGCTGATAAGCCACGTATCTTAAAATGAGATGTTTCAAAATTTCCGCCCAGAAAAATAATAGCTGAAATTTTCACTAAATATTCTGCTAACAGAAAAGAAAAAGTAAGAAAGTTTTGAAGTGATTACGTTTACTATATTTAAATATTTTTACTTTTGCAACGCCGCAAACGAAGATACAAGGTTTCACTTTTAAGCCATAAAAATATCTTCTTTTACGGGGCGNGGGGGGGGGGGGGGGGGGGGGGGGGGGAGCGTGCCATGGTCATTTTCGCTCTCAGCTGCATTAAAATACCCCCTAAAATGTAGCAGTGATTTCTAAACACAATTTTCTTTTGTTTTTGTAGCTGACCCGCGTACCTAATGAAACTGGCTTCACAACTGACAGTAAGAAAAGAGCTGAAAGTGGTGCAATCATGAAATTAAAAGGCTTCAGCAACGGCGCCTTTGAATGTTTGGAAAAAGACCGTCAATGATTCTTCAATTTACGCCTATTTTGGCGTGAAAAACGCATGGTCAATGAAAGTAATCAATGCTCCTACTAAGATTGACATTTACAGTTCAAGATTCCTTCGTTTCAAGAATTTGAGACACGGCTGCCGCCTGCCGCCGCGCATCAGATAAATCGTGTAAAAATGTGAACATACCGTCCCTACCTGCCAACCCCAGCGCATGGACGTTTGCAAAATTAGGCAACATGGTGTCTGGCCCTGCGTGATGTCAAAAGGATTCACCGCTCGATTCGTTCGGAATCGATACTCCTTCACAGCTGATAAGGTTCGCGAAGTGTAAACATAGCGTGTTTTCATGTGTTCGTGGGTGTTACACTCGATGCAATTTAAATTGTTCTAATAAGTGAAAAATACACTGGTGTTCGTTATTTTTAAACTTTTTACTGCACTGACCCTTTCACGTGAGTCAGTTAGTGTTTGTTATAGTATTGATCTTGCAATGTCTCACACCGGCACGTCTAAAAAAAGGTTAGTTCTGCAGTATTGTTTGTTCTCTCCTCTTTTGACGTTTTTATTTAGCGTGATTTAGCAAGGAGCGGTAGTTCGACTCTTTGTTTCGCCAGTATCTTATGTCAGTCATGCAATTCGTAATAGGTATATCTTTTCGGTGCTTCATCACCTAAACACAATAAAAACTTATTGTCCTACTGGATATGTTGTGTCTAAACTTTGAGCCAATTTTTTTTTGCTCTGAACTGAAACTTACCTATATCAAGAAACTTTGTTTGGGGGTGGATCGGTAAATTGTCAATTTTACTTATCAGTATATGTACATGTTAAATTACTGACTGCCATTTCCAATATGTTTTGCATGTTTGTTCATGAAAATAATCATGAAGCCAACTGACGCGCTTTACCCTTTAGGCATGCATCCCCCCCTGCATTTTCCCGATAATTGCTTCCACAGATTTTTGTACATGTCACTTTAATATATCATATGTGGCTTTAATATGAGTAATACAATTCATTTTGCTAAGATAGTCAGTAGCTTATCAAGAGTACCTACCCATCATCCCTCTTACAGTTTTTTAAGAGCTGTCATGCAGAGTACATACTTATGTTTGTATCGTTATGAATTTAAGGAAGAAATGTCTTTGCTGTTTTAAGGAGTATTACCTATCAAACAACTATCCAGCAACTTGATTACTACATCCAGAGGATGAGGACAAAATGACAGTCACATCAGAGTTTCAACCTAAGACTTTGAGACCTCTTGGATCAGCGAGGCCTTCCCTACCAGAAGTACAGAAATAATATGAGAAATGAAATTTTTACATATGATCCAAGGGTTATCCCTCCCGAATTTTTAACATGAACTGCATGACCCTAATTTTTAGTGCGCGCTAGTTTTGACTGTTGATCACTATTAAGAAGGGGAGGGGGATGAGGAGGTGCATCTCTAATCTTTCAGATGGTAGGTAGACCTTTTTAAAACATTCCTCCTGTTAAATATGGTTGTCATTGTCAAAACGGAACTTCCTTGGTAGAGTTGCAATTATCATGAAAAATAAAATCTTGGAATATCATGTGAAATATTTCATGACCTTTCAGAAAAATATGAAAAATATTTCTCGAAATTAAATGTAATCTTAAATGAGAGGCGACTGGTTTCTACTTTTGGTGTTTTTTAGTGCGTGTTGCACACCTAGCCCCTGAAAATATGTCTCAAATTTTTCACAACTTCACGAAATTTCATGAAATACCTATTTCACGACAATTTTCAACATTTTATATTTCTCATTTTACCCTTGTAACCCTGTTCTTTGCTGGAATGTCAGACATCTTCAAAATGTCTTGAATCGGCCCATCCGCATCGTTTATCCAGGTCTCGGTGTCAATTTTGTGACCAAACACTTTTCCCAAGGGGGGGGGGGGCTCTTTCCGCCAACGTCAAGGGGCAATACGTCAGACAGGGATGTGGGCTCTTGATATCGGCTTACTTAAGTCAAAATTTTCCATAGGTACTTCCCAAGTTTAATTAGAAAATTTCATAATTATGATGGGAACCTCGATTTTCATAGACATGGCCCTCTCTCAGGCCTCAAGGGGGCTGGGGGTGGCATCAGGATGGTGAAAACTGGATCCCATAGGGCCCATTTTCTATTCGCCCCACCGATCCTCGACTTTTTCCGATCCAAAATAACCGAGGAAAAATCCCTGTGCGGGAGGTCTGGGACACCCTGTATGCAGAAGGGCAAGGATGAGGAAAGTTTTCAAGCCGCCCACTTCATCCCTCATCTCAAAGTTTTTCCTGAATAAAATTGATCGGTCTATAAACTCTTACAAATTACATCTCAAAATTCACCTCCTCAATTTTTCAAATAACTAATCGAACATTCATCGTGAAGTACTGCAAATAGCCTGAATTCCATCTCGGGATCCGAAAATGCACGCATACGACCTCTTCTTGCCCTAATTTTTTTTTTTTTGTAAACCTTGTATCGTATTTTCAACCGTTTAGGTTTTGCCTTATCGGTTACCTTAAAACCAAAATTTCTCACGACAGGTTCATTTTCTACTTGTCAGCAATATAGCGTAGGTTTGGTTCAGAATTCTTAAGTCCAGTTTAGGGTGCTCGTAATTTTTCCTTATTCCATTTATTTCCGTCTCGTATTAAAAAAAAATTTTTTTTTGGGTTAACGACCCCTTTAAACGGATTCTTAGCCAGGCGTGCAGAATATTCCTGATCTGTCGCTCCTGAGCAGGCGTAGTATAGGCAATTTGAGCATCGGAGTCGGAGCGTATGAGTAAAAGGTGTAGCGTTTGAAGTATTTCCACGATTTTGAAGGCGCTATATATGGTGCGCGCGGGCGCGCTGTTTATATTAATGTCCTTACTTAATAAGTCGAATTAGCGGCGTCAGCTTCTCGGACAGCTTTGCTTTTTCCTGAAACCACTGCAAGTGCTTTGATTTTGATTAAAATGTTTAAAGTAGTGCGTTTGCGCTAGTATTTTGTCGATGTTTTCTAGGATGCGCTAATTGTTTTGCTAAAATAACCTTGACCGCCCAAAGTTTCTGCCGAAATTCTTCGACCGCGCTTTGTAATAGCGCGCAGGGTTTTGTTATTTGCCGATGAAAGTGCACTCTGACCACTCTGAGGAACTTTATGCACTCCTGCAACGGAGAAGTGCTGCACTGCACGTGGCGTGGCGTGCCTTGCAATACCTATATCGATTAATATGCCATTTAAACCTATGTAAAAGGAATGATGAACAGGGTTTTCGTTGCGAACACCTTGTTCATCGATCCTTTCACAAAGAGGTTGTAGGGATCGATAAAAGGCACACACGCACTCATTGGTCAAGGGAGGAGAGGAAGACATAGGCCAAGTCACTCGTTCTTAAGGGTGGCAATGTACCCTCGCGACGACGCGACCGTGTCCAAAATCTAGATGGCTGGGCTAATGGACCACTAGACAAGGTACGAATTTCAGCATTCTGATACATGTTTCTTGACGAAAATTTCACGTAGAACACGAAACGCACAACGAAAATGATCGAAATCAACTTTTAACCAAGATATTCAATGATTCCTGATGTCGTCACCTTCCAGGCAAAGTATCACATTTTAAAAATTTCCGCCGCCATTTTATTTTTTTACAGAGAAATTGTTCAACGAAGCTGTCCGAAAATTTCACTGAATTTTCTTTGTGCTGCCGATAAAATTTAGTGAAATTTCCAAACAGATTCAACCAACAATTTATCAGTAAATAAATAAAATGGCGGCGGAAATTTTTAAACGTGGCATGGCGCTTGTGATACTTTGCCTGGAAGGTGACGATGTGTGAATTCAAACCACCCGCTCATGAAAACTCAATGCTCTGCGTTATTCACATCGCGAGCTAAAAGTTATCATGACAGTCTCTTGCGATATAAAAATCTGGCAACCTCAATCTTGACGCTTTGGCTCAGCTGTAGCGAATTGCTTATAGTTTGAACCACACATGGAGGGAAAATGAACATTGCTCGATTGAAAGGCTTGCTGAAACCGTTGTAGTGCGCGATTTGACTCACGTAGAGCTTTGAGTTTCTTGTGAGCGGGCATTTCAAAATCCGCGTGACCGTGAAATAAAAAGGTTAATATCTTCGTTAGGAGTTGGTTTCAGTAATTTTCGTTGTGCGAATCG